AAGTCTATTATTCGGGAGACTTTTTTTGAAGAAAAGGAAGAATATGACTTGTGATTGTAGCTAGGTCCCTCACAGAATTCATGTTAGTTCACAAATGATAAGTTTAGGTTTTGAGAGATGTTGACTTCGATACGTTCACGAAAGAATGCGCGGAGCGTAGCCTACGAAACACGCTGGTATCTCATTATTGGTTTACTGAATAAACCAAAAATTATTTTATAACAAATCAACTAGTGATTTCCATAGAAAAGTAATGATTTTATGATACAATAATATTGCTAGTTGATATCCATGAAAATTTTGGATTTCTTTTTCAAGATGTTCAAGACTTCTAGATATTTCAACGTCTTATAATATCGGGTGTAGCTCATGTCACCCGTTTGGTTTCACTCTCCAAGGTTCGAAGGGGGCATGCGCATGCTTTTGGTTATATTACTCGGTCCCCCCTTTGACTCTCGACATGGAAAAGAAATTTCCTGCTGAGACTTCGGTAAGCCATGGACACCTGACTTCTGGATGTAGCCATTTCCGGGGAGAAGTTTTCCCAGATTTTTATCGTCGTAAAATAAGTGAATCTTGTTAGGTGATGCATCAGTCTTGACGTTAGGTTCAATCCTGCTGCGGTATTATCGTCTACAGGGTGCCTGCAAGAGACGACTATGGCTGACGCCTTCGTTGAAAGAAGAAGATTTTCGTTCAACGACATGGGTCCCACTTTGGCACCGACTCCTGGTTTAGTAAAATATGAAAGGGCTGACACACACCCCATTGACTTCGCATGATTATCTGAAAGGGCCATCTACCTTTCTTAGGCCCTTGAAATTTCGACTAGTGTCTTGCGACCATCGCCAGTCAACACCAAATCTTGCATTATTAGCTAGTTTTGACACACCCGCTCAAATTAGTTTGGCTCTAAATGTGGCCGACCCCTAAACGTGGTGATTCCGGGCCGATATTCATGTCCATTGTGCTCTGAGTGTGTACCAAACCGACCAACCGAAGTCAAACATTCAACAGATTCCATGTCATCGATTGGGAGCGACTACGTACCAACGTTTCGTACACGGTCACTCTCATTACTTGGCTCATGCACGAGGGCGTACAGTGCAGTTTATATACACGACTAAAAGTTTAAAGTAGCAATAGCTGCTCATTTGAAACCGAGAAAAGAAATAGCAAGGAGGTAAAATGTGCATAATATCTCCACGAGGACGATTTTCTTGAAGGAATCTTTAAATTTACCCTCCACTATACGTCCACAGATTAGCCAATATCTTCAGTCATGATACGTGGCCAGTACTGTGTTGTACATTCGCGCACTCCTTGTTGTCTCTTGTGCTAGGCTCGGCTTTGCATGGATATCTGATCTTCACATTGCAAAGAACCCAGTAGAATTGTCTGAAAGTTTTCTCTTGATCTGATTCACAGTTATTAAATAAAATCCGCCTGGTCGTTCGTGTGCTTCAAATCCCTCTTACGATCGAGAGTATATGATTTTGGCAGAGTGAAGAGCTATGGTGAATTCATGAGGAAAGACTTATCTCCAAAAGATTTTCACACGGTGAGTCTCTTGGTAATGTCTGCCACTTGGTGTCAGAGCACAAATATGCTCACACTTCGCTTGCCTCAACGATGTCAAAGTGCCTAGATACCATAAACTATGAAGGTTTATGTAATTTAGAGGCCAAATTTTGTGCTTGAAGTACTATCTACAATACATGTGAACAACTGCAGTGTTTTGGTTTATGTCAAGTCAAATCGTTGACCAATTAATAACCTTTATAAGTTGCGTTCGAGCTTTCATTGGCATCACACTTTTTCAAAGACTTAGATTCCACGACACAACACGAAGAAACCAACGTAGACGAGAAATTCAAGCACAAGCCTTGTTTTAAGTGATAAAATGGTACGTATTCCTCATCCCTTTCATCTCTTGTAATCCTTCAACGAACATCAACAAATTATAATCCTAAAAGTTTCAAGAGGGAGAAATTGAAGGGAGGCGCAAGAACATCCGATGTATAACATAAAAGTTGAACCCTACAACGGAGGTAGCATATTCGAGAATATGCCTCTGATGTCTTTCCTTTTTTATGCTTCTTATATTTTCTGATTTTAATAGGACTAGGATGAGGAGCGCAAGTGATGGAGATATATCTTACGGTCTCTAGGAGAAGCACATCCCCAAACTTTGTCCTGCACTGTGTCAAAGTACAAAGAGCCTGCCTACTTTGACTAGCGATGCTCAAAATATCGAATGAATATGGAGGGACTGGGGATTGCTTTCGAGTCAGTACCTCCTTAAAATTTGGCGAGAATTCCCTCTCGAATATTCTTTCCGGATACCATGCAATACATGTACCGTACATGTCAAGTCGGCCAGGTTTGACTCCCAGAGACGGGAAGAGTTAAAGACTGGGTTCTCTTAGGAAGAATTTCTCAGAGGTTTCCTATCCCTGAGATTACGGTGTGGCTAAACTTTTATTTTCAGACGAAGTTACACGAGCATTTGTCCGCTCAGGAGACGACGTGGGCAGCAGGAATTTGTCCTGAATTGCTATAACAGTGACAAAGAATCACGTCAACATCATATCCGAATTCCGGTCTATATGGCTCAACGACTGGTGTTATTGAACTAGTCAACTGGTTTTGGCAGTATATCTGCCGTACTGATGTCCAGAGAAATTTGCACATCCGTCCATTTATACGATGATAAGGACAAATGCATTCCATCTTTTTCCGCTGGATCTGTTTCGAAAAGCCGCATTCTGTCTATCGCTCACACGTTTCCACACTCTTTTAGAGAACTAAATAGTTGACGTGAAACAACATAGTGGTTCCCTTGGGTTAACATAATACTCGGTGAAATAATTTTTTATGGCGAAAAGCTCCCCGTCCTCATTGTGGACTATCTCATGCACGGTAAATCTTTGTGATAGGGCTTTTAGTCACAACTTGGAAAAAGGAGTTGAAAGTTGCCCATTCCCGTTGAAAGTTGTTGTATTCGTAGGTAAAGTTGTAGGTCTCTTGCCTTACGAAAGTAGCTGAGAAGAGATTTCCCCTTGTTCATAAAATTATATTGCATAATTGATATGCAATGCAATATAACTTTAAGTACGTACAGTGATGGTGGTGCCGTGTGTAGGCGTTTGTCTAACAGGGCAAATGATGCAAAACTGCCTCTCATTATGAAAACATAATGAAGACATCGTGTCCAGAAAGACGAAATTCGGATCGCAAGACTGAACACAATAAATATTTGAAAAATGCTACCAAACCGCTTCAATTCACTTGTCCCTCAGTATGTCCAGGTGTTTTGGAATCGAGTAGGTTTAGCGTTTCTTCTGGTGGTCGTTTTGTTTGCTGTGACAAGGATCTTAAAAGACGACTACGCAGACCGTCTTTCCAAAGACATTCACCAGATACGCTGGTGTTCCTACATCAAGGGTCCTTTTCATTGACAAAACTCCCCTAATTCAACGTTTTGTCAAGGGTAGTTCTTCCGGAAGTCTTTAACCTTTCTTCCATGCACCAAACCTCAGTGCAAAGTCGGCTCAAATCAAACAACCTGTCATGTCTAAACAGACTCAATGCACAAAGTAATGTTCAGCTGCAATCATAGGTAGAATATAGGTATGCACGAGCTGAATTACGATCGTTGACTACTGTCACTAGTGCTCACGAGACGACATGGTAATAATGGTCGTGCTTGAAGACAACGAACAAGGAACTGAGCCCCCTCCACTGTGGGAGCCGGTATTAAATCCGTCGGTTTTTGGTCAAGATTTTTTCTTCCGATTCACCGATAGGGTACGGAAAAGGGTACCAATCTTAGCCGACACTCCTCAACCCTAGATAATTGCGAGGGACACTGATGACAAAGGGAATGCTGGAACACGCGCACCGAAATTGCTGCCACACTGCGAATTCATCGTTGCAGAGTAAGTGACTGAGCAGAAAAAAAGAGATTTGTTTGGTTCGGGCCGGAAACTGAAGGCTTCGTCGCAAACTCTGGTCCCGCTGCAATCTGGAAGGGTGGAGTTGGACGATGGAAGGAAAGCCGAGAGGAAGGTCATCTGCGACCTCTGCTGCGGTCGAAGATGAGTTTGGTGCCACCACACGTGAGTGAGGTGGCCGGCGCCGCCCATTTTAGGATCTGAGAAATCTGCGTGGGTGATGTACCTCGCACATGATGCCGGAGCTCGGTCAGTCGGCCAGTCAGCCAGTCAGACAGCCCACCCCGGACGATTCTCGGATTCCGAACCCTTCAAATTCTGAGAGTACTCGCCCTCGCTTCCGTAGATATTCCTTCGATCTCTGGACGGTCCTTACGCGTGCCTACCCCCCGGCAGCAGGTCGGCAGGCAAACTGGTGACCGGTTAGCGAACGGACTGCAAGCCAAAGCCGCACGGGCCGACAGTACAGCCGAAGCCAAAGCCGGACGGGCCAGGCTCGGCCCGCCAATCCGCGACGCTTAGACCGGCCGGGAACTCACCCCGGGGGAACGGAGAGGGGTTTCCAGAACTCGGAACGCGGGGCAGGGCCTGGCTACAGCGCGGGTTCGCCTGCCGACCGAGCAGGACGTTGACTTGAGGGCGAGCCTATCGGCCGCAGTGAACAGGGGACGTGCAAATCATTTGTTGCGAGGGAGCGGCGAGAGGCGATCATGTGAAAAGACTGGAAAAGACAGGTACGGTGCGGGGGAGGTAGGGAGGGAGGACGGGCCTGAAGGGGAAAGACGGTAGAGACGACGGGTACAGGACGCCGTACGTGGAGCCGTGCTGGGGTGCAAGGATTCGCATGAGTGCTGTCCGGGGGAAGGGAAGTCTGGGAATGCACTGTGAGGGCAGGAAGTGAAGTCACCGCAACCAAGGCTCGAGACCGGCGCTCGCTGGAACGTGATCCCGGTGACTTGGCACGCGTACACCTTTGACTACGAAGTAGCTTCCTTCTGTCGCCTCCAAATCCCCATTTTGCGCAGCGTCAGCCGGAGGTTTTTCTCAGATCTCTGACGCGTCGTGCATCCTCGCAGAGGTTATAAACTCTGTGGTTCCCCGCTTTTCTCTGGACATCTCCACCATAACCTGCTTACGTATCACCATCCCTGGTTGCTCATCTGGTCGCTAATTAGCTTCGCTCAGTACTATCTGTGACGAGTTGACACGGCCATGCTCCTCACGACTACCATACACTCAGCAAGAGGAAACCCGAGTCCGTGTCTGCAGTGTGATTGGACTTCTCCTGGTGGTTATAAACTCGGGCTGTCGATGTGATACAACACGAACGGCAGCAACAACGACAACATCACGAACAAGAACACGTGGACGACTGTGAGTTTCAACAATTCGCCATCGACATTGGCCGACTCTTATGCTCAAGAAGGAACCTGGCTTCTGAAATCCAAGATTTTGTAATTCATGCTTCAGCACTGAAACGAGGAAGCGATGAGGACTGACATCGGGAAACCTCCAGCGGCTACCAGCGGTAGTTCTAGCGGGCGCATGGATCGAGTGCAACGAATCGATCTCTCGGTAGCTCTGTCGGACGACGCCAACGAGGATGTACAAGAGATGGCCACTTCTGATCAAACGCCATCGAGCCCAGTTACAACGCAGTATTTGCAGTTGTCATCCGACAGTGGTTCCAAACCGAAGTTTGTGGAATCAGCACCTTTATCAGCGCGCTTGATGGAAGACGATTCGGTAAGAGTCGCACGAATCAAAATCTCTCTACCGCGCCACAGTTTCGATCTTTCGTCATGCACATCGGGGGCATATGAATGTTCAGCCTTGCTGCTAGAGCAGCCGCAGCCAGCGTAAGCTGAGCTCGCGCTCACGGCCCGGGAATGGGACTGCTCTTGTGAGGAAATATTTGCCGAGCTGGTTTGCGGCTTGGAGTTCATAGACGGTCAAGCGTAATTGTGCACCATAGCGACCAACTCTCATGTCAACAGTATATCAGGTTTTTTCTGAAGGAGAAGCAGTTAATTACCGCGGACAGTATCATGAGGTGCAGTCGAGAATAAAATTTAGATTGGGTGTTAGAAACATCATGTTCACCGTTATACATGTATGCTCGCTTGTCTAACGTCATCTGCTGCTATATCTCTTGCAGAATGGTCTCCGACTAGCCACCAACAACTGTCATGAACGCTCCACTGTTGAGGATGGTTCCCCTCCTCCTTCTCCTGAGAGATCTACAACCCCTGCTGAACCCGAGATTCGCGAGCAGGTAAAGTGTCTCAAAGTTGTGAATTAGTGTATGGTCAGATTGGTCATACTTCTGAGAGTCTCTTTCGGGCAAGGCATATAGAGGAACGAACAGTCTGTAAATACCCAACAGACATGCTTACATCGGCTGTTACTAGTGAGAGTTCGTAGTGAGTGTGCATCGGATTTCGGCCAACTTGCAATGTTTTTCCTAATCCTAAGTTTTCGAATTGTGTGCAGTTGCGAAGAGCTCAATTGGAGATGGCTCGAATGACAGAAGAGAATGAGGAAATAAAGAAGATGTTCAAAACCTTGTCGATGGAGTATCACCGACTCCATGTAAACATGTTCCAGATGTTGAATGCGCAGTCTGGTCCTGCGGTGACTCAGGTACCGTCTTGTCTTCCCTGTCGTGATCATAGTGTACGATGGGATAGCTGGGGCTCATTCAATTGCATTTTGGTGTCTATCAGTTCATTTAGTGGTTGTCGCTGCCACAGCTATTCGAATTTTCACGTTTCTTACTAGTGTTCTATGTTTTTCAGGCAAGCGGTCTCTCTTTTCAAACCGAGGAGGAATATAAACGACACACCGAGCATGACTCGAGGACTGCAGCGAATCTCTTTCCTATTTCATCATCCCAATCTCAAGGGTCTGCGTCCCGGAACGCGATCTCTGCTTTTGGTGATGGTCATATTTCCGATGAGAAAGAGGATTCTCGCGACGCAGAAGCGGTGAAAGTCCTCCCGGGGGTAGTTGGTAAGAGAAGCAGAGAGTCTCCTGAGACTCAAACTCCTGATAGATCTGAAATGACTCGTCAGAGAGACGGAGCAGCTCCGAGGGCAGCTTCTTCTCCAAGGGAGGCGGCCATGGAGGAATCCGGTGGGTCCGAGCATGTCACAGAGTCACCTCCTCGCGAAAGGGAGAGAGACGAAAGCAGTTCCGCCCCTTCCACCGGTTGGCCTCACAACAAACGCATGAAGACCGGTCCTGCCGTCCACGATCCTTCGGGTCGGAACGCTCGTGTCTCTGTCCGAGCCCGATCAGACGCCACCACGGTATGTTCGTCTGAATCCATTGCTCTATCACCTGCTCTTCAGGCGGCCAGTTTTGACTCTTAATTATTCCTTATTCTATGCAATCTTCCCTTCGTTGCATTGTCTAACGTCTCTTGTTCCTGATTCAGCTGAACGACGGATGTCAGTGGAGAAAGTATGGACAAAAGATGGCAAAGGGCAACCCATGTCCCCGGGCCTACTATCGCTGTACTGTATCTCAAGGCTGTCCAGTTCGCAAGCAGGTGGGTGCTGATTAGAGTGACATTTGCACACGCAAATTCGTAGGTTTAGCACATGACTAGGAATTAGGAGGTGTATATATATTGTGCGGGCCAGATTCACTGTATTTGAAGCATATGGGACTTCAATCCTTGTGTTTCTTACTGGACTTTCGTCGGATGTATATGCAGGTGCAAAGGTGCGCAGATGATACATCTATTCTCATAACGACGTATGAGGGTACACACAATCACTCGCTTCCGCCAGCTGCCACTGCCATGGCATCTACAACATCTGCAGCCGCGAACATGCTCCTATCTGGATCCACTTCCAGTAGCGAGATGGTGGAAGCAAGCACACATGCTTACAACCTTGCGTCTCGTACTGCGCCTATCATCTCCGCATCCACACCTTTCCCGACCATCACCTTGGACTTGACCAATAACCCAGCTGCCGCGCAGCAAATGCGCATGGCAGGGGCAAATGCCTTCCAAATGCCTTACTCCTTCACCTCGGCATCCTCTGGTTTGCAAATGCACCCACCCTCGATGATAAATCCTGTACAGTCTGGCGGTTACTATGCACAATCTGCAGCCGAGCAAACTACCGGAGCGTTTCAAGTCTATACCAATCCAGCTGCAGGTTGGCTTCAACATCAAATGCAGCAGCAACAGCAACAGCAGCAGGCATCTCCAACGAGGTCCCCGCAGTTTCTTGCGGAGACAGTGAGTGCAGCCACGGCGGCTATCACATCTGATCCAAATTTCACAGCAGCTCTGGCCGCTGCTATTACCTCCATCATTAGTTCTCAAACGAATTCAACGATGATGGGAGCGAGCAATGCGAATATCACCGAGGCTCTTCGAGTCGCCGGGCTGCCAATTTCTTCGGCGAGAAAGGATTGAACACATGTGGCTTGTAAATTATTGACAGTACAATTGCAAAGTAGACCAACCTTCTGCCAGTCATCATCCAGAAAGCTGCATCTATGCATATGCGCAGCTAAAGCTAGATGCTAACTGGCAGAGTAGTGTTTGTTTCTACAATATGGAACTCGATTAGTGAGGGGTGGATTAAAATTTTACAGATTTCTTTCAGCTTCCAGCATCCATAGATCTTGACACCCCTGGTAGAATGTGGAATCTGAGAATCCATTTGAAACTTGACTTAGAGTACAAATTGTCATGGTCACGTGTATATTAGTTGTAAATCAGCTGCTAGATTTAGAACAGAGGCAAGTGTTGCCAAGGCGCAGATTGCCTTTGATACCTTCACCATTTAAAAAAATGCGCGGATCTGTAGTACTTGGCGTCAGAGCGATGAGATTCATCGAGTTCCAGTGAAGTCGGTCGACGATACCGATCCGGTAGACAGATTTGAGTTACGATCACTGTTTTGGCATGTTCCAATGCACTTGGGGACTACGAACTACTTAGTCCAGTAACCAGCGGAGTACAAATAAAGAGATCAAAAGCAAGCTTTGACTCGTGAAACTTGGTCCACTGATGTATGAGCTATCTTGCAAGGAACGATTTGCTTGATCAGAAGTCAACGTGCCGCAGCTAATTGAGGTGATTGTCATATAGTGGTTACGAAGGTCTTTACTCGTCGATCTGCGAAGAAAGCAGAGAGGAGTCATCGAGTTGAACGTCAACACAATGCTTAGGGAGATCGTCCCTCTTCGATCTGTTGATGAAGCAGAGGAATTCATAGAGGTTGTTGTCACCGTAATTTTTAAGGAGTCTTTCCTCGTCGATGTGCAGAAAAAGCAGACAGGAACTGAGTCAGTCGATCCTGACGTGAAGCGACAGTTTGTATCTTTGAATGAGGCTTGAATCTCCAGTCCAACCATGAAAAATGCCGTACCTTCTCATGTGCAGGCGAAAGAGGAATACTGCCTTTCGGACGGGCTGAACTGACATGGCGATGCGTATGACCGAGTGTGATAACGTAAAGTTGACGACTGCAGATGACTTCCGAGGTGAAGCTAAATGTTTGGATATGATATGATATTTGTGAGACTTGGTAAATGATAGATCTGACAATTGGCCAAAGAATGCGTATCAGAATAGGCTAGACCTGTGTAGACCTGTAGATCCCTCCTTTTCTGTTATCCACTTGTCCTCCGATGGGAAATGTGAAAATGTGCCAGAAAATTCCAATTTGGTGTGTCCAAGGTATGCCTGACATTAAAATGAATTATATTAAATCAAATCGAGAGAAGGAAGATCTCAAAATGACTGTGCGGTATCCCAGGTACGTGGACATCGAAGGACACGAAAATTCAGTGCAGATATGCAGTGCCACCGGGAGTGGCCACTGGCGAATCGAAGGATTTCTTTTATCAGACCGAGAGGATTAAAGTTCCGATCGTTGAACATAAGGTCCCAGAGGAAGAGGAATTTCAGGTTACCGAATTCTCGAGTTCACCAATAAGATATTCCCTCTTCTTTCCCTGCATATCTTTGTGCTCCTCGACCTCGTTCCAGAAATTGAACACAAGTCTTTATCTTTGACCATCAAATGAGTCATAGTGGACCAAAAGACTAGAACTTGGTCGTCTTGTTATCGTTGTACGGTGGCACCGAATCGAGAGTGACTCGAACGTGCTGTAAAATAATTGCATATAATCAAAATCGTAGATTTTGCCTGAAAGGCGTATATCTTGAATTGGCTGCGTCTGATCCAAGCCACAGTTCCTATGTACCCCTTCCTCTAGAAAGTCGGGATCCTTTTCTTCGAAACTTTATAAAAGTTAGTGGACCAGTCAAAGCGAGGACCCCTTCCCATCTTGGTTTTACCTGTATTTGGATCGCATCTTGTAATCGACGAGACATACTTGGCGGGCTGGCATTTGCTCATGTTGGTAATTGTATAGAAAGAGCCACTCACAAACGTTAACCTTAATCGGGCCCGAGGGCCAAGGCTACGATTAGGATTAGGCAGATTTAGACGCCCCGGTACTGTTTCGAAAGTTTTTCTCTTCCCCTCCGATGCCCTTTCGGAACATGTCATGTCATGTCAGACCGAAGAATCGGTTGGTTTGTTGTCGCAGACTGAATGAAGTCCAGGCGTGGTGTGTTGTTAATCATCATTGTTTGTACAACTCGGCTATTTACGCCACGTCCTGTTCTTCCGACCTGAAACCATCTACTTTGACTCGGACAAATGCTCCCAAGCGAGGAGTACACACATCATACACATTTTTTTTGTGAACTTGCACTCTATCCTTTCTCATGGTGGTGAATCTCATTAAGAGAGGGGCAAGCAGGGCTAGCTGAAAAGTTTGAGAAGAACCGTCCCATACCACCTTGAATCACTTGGCGGAATACAAATGGAACTTGAAATGTAAAATAAAAGCCTCATCACTTTGTTGTTACATCTAACCCATGTCAACGTGTTCTTGAGTACAAGACAAACTATAATATCCTGTGGTAGTTTCAAACTTATATGTAAATATATATTAGTGTTGAAACCCCTAAAGTATAATGTGATAACGATATCATTCCTACTCGATACCGTATTTTCATTTAAAAAATATATATATATTGAAAAGTGAAAGCCCCAAGTTTGTTGTTTTCTTTGAGCTTTAGCCTATATTTTATAAACTGGTCTAACATATTTGGAAACTCTGGGAATCTCCTTCGGACCCTTTGTTTACTAAAGCATGAAAGATCGTAGATAACACGAGCTACCCTATTTTAGAAATCTAGGTGGAATAGGATATCATTCCGCATTATGATAGGATGATATCATTGAGATATTATATTATTCATAAAACGATAAAGACATATAATTGATATATCCTATTTATATTACGTTATAATAATGTATTTCATCTCTAGATGAAATTGGGGCTAGCACCATGTTAAGCACTTGCTTTGATCCTTCCGTATATTTAGATGGTGTCTTTCCGTAATGTTGCGATTTCAATGCGTACCCCAGGTCCGTCCTTTGAATACATCTTGAAGGGTTGTGCTTTATTAAAAAAAAAAGACATATTCAGCAGGTTTGCAATGGAGTCACCTGCATCTTTTTGGTTGACGGCATCAGATTTGGGCAGATTTGTGGCTTGACAAAGCGTTCGACTTACAGACCTTCGCAGAAAGAATCTGCGCGGCCTAGTTTGGTAAAGTCAACGTGAGGCATCGATCGATTCTCACTCCGAGGTACGGTTTCATATTCGGAACGTTACGCATTCTGGATCATGTGAAGTGGCGATGGAGAAGTCAAAGGTCGGAGGACGCAAAGTTCGCGCTTCGTTGCGAAATCTCCCCAAATCTGTCCGTCCCTCTTAATGATATAAAAAACTCCAGCTTCGAAGTTCCGGTGGCCGGTCGCGAAGACGTGAGGGAGGAAAACTGTGGTATGCTACCGGCGGTTGTGCACCGATGAGCCATCAGATGTTGACCTGGTCGAATCGTCGAGACGCGAGGTGCGATTTTCCGTGGCCCAAGGAGAGGAGCACACCGATGCCTCTCGAAACGAGAAGATCAAGAAACTCGATGTATCCGCTGTCGGCGTCCCACTCGTTTGGCGACCTCGCCAAGTTGTGGCTTTCCGTGACACCGAAGCTTCATGTCGTGATCATGATCTGGATCTCAGCCCTGCCAGCGAGTGTTGGTGACGGTGCCTTCCTTCCTTTCTCCCTGGTAATGGTAATGGGGGTGCCAAGCGAGCCCCAGCATCAGATTTTTAGGTTTCTCGAAAAAATGTCTGTCGCGTCGGTTCCAGTTATCCGCCCGTCGCCTGAAGAAAGGACGGCGCCCTTCCATATACGAGAAGCAGGCTCGCTGGCGGGCGTCCGGCGCAGCAAAGTTGAGGCAGCCGAGGTCGTGGTGGCTTGAGGGAGGCAGGTGCCATGACTCAGAAACAGAACGTAACTAAGGAAAGAGACAAGCGCACAGATGCCGTTCACAAACTTTTTTCAAACACGGCTTGTCAACTTTAGAACCGCATGTGGAATCCGAAATTGCGCGCTGCTTCGGGCAGAGTGCAAGGTCTTCGAGATTACGAGAACAGTCCTTCCGGTGACGCTGAGCGCGAGCAAAGTGGAGGGGAGCTGGGACAGCCGTGACAAAAAGCCACTCGAAGGCGTCGAGATTGCGACATTGAATGAGCCCAGGATGGATGTTTCGCCCAACGGCAGTCATGGCAAGTCTTCTGTGTTTGTGTGTCAGAGGGACCATAGCGTTGACGATATTCGATCAGTACACTGGACCTCATGATCACCCAACAGCGGTGACACAGTGCCCTTCACGAGCCAAAAGGCGAAGAGGAAAAAGACGAATTCAGTACAAGACAGTGAAAGTGAAAGTACAATTATAGAGAAGATATGCATGTCATAAATTCTTCCTCGAGTGAGTTAAACAAACCTTCGACGAAGAAAAGGAGTCCTCTAATTCGGTCCACCGTGAGCAGTAGGAGTGGACATTTTCTCTTCTCGTCCTCAGCCCATCCAGGTTCAGAGTGCGCAGTTTCAGGAGCCGGCCGCTTTTCCTGAGAGCCAATTGCAATTTACCTCGACCTGCATCATATCTCTTACTGCTCGCCGCATGGGTGACCGAGTTTCCCCTTCAGATCGGCCTTCGGAAGAAGGTGGCAACGTCACCTGCTTGTGAAAAAAAGGGATTACCCGATTTGTCTTTCGTTCTTCATACCGGAACGTTAACCAGCTTTTCTGCAGTCCTCTTCTTGTCCTACCATTATTCATCACTTCCGCAAACCTTGCGGTTCTGTAAACTCCAAAGCCGTTCGCAATTTCTGTCTCGACTATGGAGGGCGGGCGACCCAGCACAGCAACTCCGTGCTGCGGGAAGATCGGTACCAGGTGGCCTTTGTTGTTTATGAAGGCGTATCAGCACCGTTGGTGAAATCGTCACGCTTGACAATCTTTCGCCATCACTTTCAAGGCGATCAAGTTTCTTTTAATGAAGAAAAGAAGATTTCAAACAGTGAATAGGGTCAAGTTAACGCTATGATGATGATGACGCTGCGTTGGAATGAGCATGCACATCTTTATTTCCAGTGCTCAATTCGCAAGTTAGAAAACCCTCGAATTAACACATGTTTAAGATGTTCTGGCTGAATAGATTACAAAATAGAAGAAATTGGAAGAAGTTGGAGAAATTGTTGAAACGAATACCTGGACTGAAATGGGTATAGGAATTGAGTCAACTGAAACGAATGTTGCGTCTTCATTGCGAATACGTTGCAATGAATTCGACGAGGAGAAGTTCGAATGAATATTTTGTTTCTTTGTGCTTCTACTTTTATTTCAGCAGAAATAAATTTCAATCTGAATCTAGATGTGAAAAGTATTTTCTCTGAAGAGTTACCACAACTACCCTGTGATAATTTTCTGATGGATTAATACAGCTAAATTAAATTGCAATAAAGATATAGTTCATTTCAAGGCATATGCTGTGGGTTATTTCATCAGATATTCCTTGTATGCATTACTCTTAAACTACAACAAAGTCAAGACTCACGATTAAATTTGAAGTTTAGTCTTGAAAGATTTATTGATTTTCAAGAATAGCAATTTTAAGTACAATTTTAAGTACAATGATGTAGATTGAAACCATATCTGTCTGATAGTCGTTCTCTGTTTTGAATTGTAAACACTGATAGATTATTTGTACAGGTTAGAATTGAAGGTGGTTATAGTACAGAATGTTGACAACATTAGAATTTAGTCACATTCTTCTATCCTTCTATCTAATTATCTAAGAATTTTTTATCAGAGGGATGGAAAATTTGTTTTTTCCAATCATGATTATACAAAGCTGACTTGTTAAATAGGATTAACCAATGTATCAATATTCTTTGCTGGATCATTGATTTAAGTATATCTATGCAGTCAAATCCCTTCACAACGGTTTCGAATAACAGCAAACTGTGGAGAAAAAACGTTTGGAAAAATGACCTGGTGAAAGAATCAACTGTCACAGAATTGATTTTATGTCATTATCTAGTATATTGCACGCAATTGAAACCAGAAGGAGATATTTCAAAGAGTTGTACAATCACTGAGAATCCAAAGTATATAGTGTGATGAAATCTTTTCTACTCTAAAATCTTCAAATCTACAACGAGGACACATTAACTTTTGGAATCGTGGTGTAACTTCAATCAATCTAGCTGTTTATAAGGACCTTCATTCTATCATCCTCAGGAAGTTTTTTCAGCTTTTGAAGTTTTTTTTGGTATGTATGATCATCGCAGCTGTTCAGAGAGATCATTGTCACTAAGGTTCCACTTTCTATCGAGCTTCTGAGAAACTTAATTTTCATAGACAATTCTCCTGAATCGTACTCTCTACGACAAGTAATACCTTATGATTTCAATCTGTGAAAACGCACGGTCCAATTTCTTTGCACACTTTGAAGATGTGATCCATCCGTGCATAAGTCAAAACACCACATATAATGAAATAAATTGGTGATGCAGGTAAGACGAAACTCCACAGTATAAGCAAAGGTGCGTCGAGTACTGCACGGCATCAACTTGAGGAAAGGGGATACATCACTAGACAAACGAGTGATAACGTCGTAGACATGACAGTACCATGGACGAATTCACTGCAGTAACAGCGAGTGAGAAAACTCAGACTCCGTTCCGCATCTGTAAAGGACAAGAGTGGAGTCCTTCGTTGTTGGAATCGTTCACATGACAGACATTGCGACATTGCCGCTTGAAAAGTATGAGAAGCGCATCGCTGGAGCCAGTCAGTAAGCATGGTAGGTTTATCCAGCAACATGCCGAGCTGAATCAACAAATGAGATTGCGCTTTTGAAATGGACGCAGGCTGTAGGCTTCAGCTCAGATAAGAGCACAATGAAAGAACAAGTTTGCAGAAAGTCAAAATCCTGAACGCATAGAGCAGAGAAATCAAGGGGTCTCCGTAGACTGGCTTTCCAAATTATGATTCTGATCCGGACGTTCTGACAAACTTACGATGGCACGGCCCTGTAAACAGTGGCCAGGCTGGTGATATAGCGTGAGTTGAGATCCAGGTCGTGTACAAGCGAGCCCTCCAATCTAGGTTCTGAAGTGGGAGTTTCAACCCCCAAATCTGGAATCGAACTTTGAAGTTTCAACCTCTAGTAATCTGCACAACGCTGCAGTATAATTCGTGCTTTTTTCGGTGCCTTTCTGTTGGTTGACTTACAGTCTGCAGTGACTCTGATTCTCAAGCTTAATGTTGACTTTGAACTTTGACTAGATCATATGGAGCCCATAAATCAGGGGACTTGCATCTGTCATAAAATTACTTCTGAAAGCCACGAAAGCATGAAAGTGACATCTCCTTACCATGCCGCTTCCTCGCTACCTGGTCACGTTGTCCTCGAGCTCACTTGCGCCATCAAACCAAATGCGGCTCGAGTATGAAACTCATCACACCCGCGATCAAGTCTAAGTGGCTATCAATATAGTATTCCTATTATATATTATGCAGAAGTTAGTGGAATCTAGATCAGACCGAACACATGGTTGTGATTTAGGTTCTCTCAAATCTACGCATCCAATTGTGACTAGTGCACGTTTGGAGAAGATTGTAAACGTAACGGAGCTGGCGTCCACACCGAAAGCACTGACGACAAACCCTTATGCCTACATCGGCAGCAACTCGAAGAGTATCTGAACACGTTTTTCGAAAATCACCATGACATTTCAGAAAGCTCGAACTGGAAAAAGGAGTTTTACTTTAGGCGGTCCAGCGTGGCAGTTTCTTACTGAGGATCAAAATCTGCATCTCCACTCTATCTACGCTGGAGTTGACAAAACTGCAGAGAAAGTAATTGACTATTATGAAGAAAAAGAGAAATAAGATTGCTTGCTTGACTCTGTCATCTTCTTACATGGAGCCAGTAGATGGAGTCTTATGCGAAGTTCTTATTTTTGTAGTACATGATACCAGTACCGGAAAGGGCCTGCCCCCGACCTGACACAAGAGTCCATCCGATTTTGGAAAGAGTTCTGACCAAAGGCAGTTTCGATCTTTGTTCAGAATGCTGGGTTCTAATTGGCCGTGGATGCGCTTTTTCGCATGAAAAGTCAAGAACTGTGAGATCAGAATTTGGCCCTGTCTAGGTCGAATGACAATCATGGGTCAGTTGACAATCTATTCGAATCCGAAAGTCAATGCATATGACAATGCCGCCCAACTAGTGATCATGATCGAGTAAGCTAACTTCTAGCCTCATTTGTGAGTACTTTTCAATTGTGGTGCGTAAGCCCTTAGAGGGCAAGTTGAAAAGCGGAGACCGATGTCGACGACAGACAATTTCACCTCGTTGAAGGTGTCACCATCCCCCGGCGTCATCCACAAAACGCAGATCATGTGGGACATTTCTCATCTTATCGTACTGAATTTTAATTTTTCTTTCTCTCAGATAGATCTTTTGTAGAGAATGTGTGTCATACCAGTCCTTCTTTGTCGTGCTACATCTACTCGTTCGCCTGTTATCTAGAATTGTGTTCTCTTGGGTAGTGGTCCGCACGCCCTACAGTGTATGCAGATTTCACTGCGGTCTCAATTGGAACCATACGCTTATTAGATGTAGGATACTTGCAAACTGCCTTTAATAGTGACCGTTCACTTGTCGCGGATCATTTTATGAAGTATAGCGAGTAAGCGCATGTATTCTGTGGAGGTGATGGTGGTACATATCTTCTCACTAGTAACGATGGCTTTTACGATGATGAGCTGTGGGAAGGATATGGCCAGGTACCTCTTCATTGAGAGCACATATAAGCAGACAAGATCTGAGATTTAATTTGTAAAACACCTTATCAATTTCATCGATTCTGTCAGTCACACATGTCAGAATATCTCCGATTCTGATTCTTCGAAAAGAAGTAAAATCAGCAAACAAATTCTTTCCATAGTCGAAGATGCTTCAATTTCCCAACCCTTCAAGTCGTTGGGAAATTGAAAAAATGTGTGCAATGGTAGGTAGGATGTGTATTCATACTGGATCGCCATTCTAGATCTGGGGTTCTAATGTCGTCTATTGACGTCTTAGTGTCTGTGCAGCAGTGCATATTGTTTGATAAAAGCACACTATAAATTACCTTGTGTTCCAATTGAACTGGCCATTCCCTTGTTTGTAATCATCACTGCTTTGTACCATGTGATTAAAAATTCTGTAGAAAAAGAGCAGGTGACTGAGCTAAGAGAGAGGTGTGGTACATCGTATATCTTTAATGGGAGCTCTAACTAGTAGACCTACGAATGAAACTGGAGAAGCAGAGAGAAACTGGACGGCACGACTTACTATACCTAGAACCTGGAAATGTGGATATGTTCGATGAACGAGCCTATGCTGGCCGATGAATTTCAACCAGCAGTTCGTAGTTAGAAGGTTGAAAGTGTTCTCGAAACTTTATCTGCTGTTTCAAGAAGAAACTTCAACAATGATCGGAGGCATCAAGAAACCCGGATTTGACATTCCAAATTCTTTAGTTAAAGATCTGATCATATTGAGAGACAACACGTAAGCAAAGAAGTTTCAGAAATCTACTGCTGGGTACTCAGTTGAAGTCGAGAGCTGATTTCCATCGACGACGACAATGTTATGCTACTGCTTTCTATGCCACCATCTGAAATGTTCGTAACTTCCATCCGTCAGCGCACGTGTTCGAAGGGTGTCTAAGCCTCCTTCTAGCATCTCAAGGGAGGATCTTCGAATACTCTCAAGGGAAACTACACTTGTGTTTGCTAAGATGGGAGTGAATTAAAAAGGCAATCTCAAAACACGAAATTCACTGAAATAGCATATCATAACTGCCAAAATATCTTCTTGCAACTCTTGGCTTCCTGTGATTAGCAGGTGAGACCAGCTCGATTAAGCATAAAATGAAGATGATTTTCGTCTATTCTCGCACTACCTTTCCATTGATTCCAGGGTGGGTTGATTACGTTCAGGGTGGGTTCTGGAGTTTTTGGTACTTTCAATTTTGCAATCGGAGTCCTGCATTTCACTAGCGAGAAATCAAGTTCAGGATCGATGTTGCAATTACGTACAGGTTATGTGCATATGATGTCACTCGTTCTGATCATCTCGGCACAAGACGTGATACATGTCAATGATGTCCTTCCATCGGTCGACATTTAAATGTCCATGGGGAAACCAAACCCGAAGAATGGTCTAACACATGCTCCACTTTGTTATAGGAAGTTTAAAGAAGGCCACATAAAATCAAATTACAGTCTGTCACAAAACACTTGCGAATCATGAGCACGGAGTTCAGTGACCTCGGTATCAAGTCAGGATTAGGTCCGCTGTCTCACAGCGGTGGGTCTTATGTTCTTTGAAAAGTAGGGGCATTGAGTTCATGCACGTGATATCAGTTTGGGTGATTGACTCGACAGTATAAACGGCTGAAGTGTGCCAACACTGGTGCCCATACCACACCACATTTGGGTATAAATGATTAGGAGAATCCGTTTCAATATATGACATTGAAACTTCGGAACTACTAATACAAACCGTCATGCAGAATTTACGTCATTTTCGACATTTGAGTTTTCGAGAGTTCACCAGTTAAAACAAAGTTTAGTGACGAACATTTTCAGATGTGCAAATTCAATAACATGTCAATTGCACACGAGCGTCTTGATCGAGAGGCAGCAGAGAAACCAAATGATCGGGAGGACACAAGTCAATGGGGTTGAAACCCGACATTAAATAAGAGTCCTTCGTGAGTATTATTTACATGTCTCTCTAGCCCTGTTACATCTGACACACATGTATTTGCCATGGCCATGAACTCATTTTCGTAAAAAATATTTCTTGCTTGCTGCGAATTTGCACCCACCAATTGATGTGCTTTGTAGCTAGCTACTTCTCGAACTAAGCTTCTAAATCTCCGAGCTTGACGTCCAACATTGACAAAGAAATTGGGCAGCTGCGACACGCTGATCCATTGGGCCTAACTAAACCTCCAGAAAGGTTTCAGGGTCCAAGACTAAAGAGTAAGCAATTCATCTGTACAGCACATGTGTAGAACTTCTCCCCATCACTGTGTTTGGCTGATAGTATGAGACGGTTTCCTGCCTTGGGAGTTCGCTATGGAGGGTTGCTGAGCAGATGCTTGATCGTGGTCCTCGCTTCCTGTCGACATCGACAGCGCCGAACGGTTCAGGAGGTTTCCGAGAGACGTGTTATGAGGGTTTGGCTGCGGTCTCAACACCGAATTGGCAATGGATTGGACAAGCATGTCGGATGACGAAGACCCTTGAATCTGCAAAGAACTCGTCGAATGCTCCCCAGCTAAACTGCTGCCTTGGTGTCGAGGATTAGCCTGGGCACTGATCATGGACGTGATAGCAGCGGCCAAGGCAGCCGTGAAGTTGGGATCGGCCGTGATGGCGGCCGTGGCAGCGCTCACCGTGTCGGCGAGCAGTTGAGGCCCACCGTTGGCAGCACCTTGAGCTTGATATTCTGGTTGGTTCGAGTAAGCAGCTTGCATAGCTCGTGCGCCTTCCGCTGATAAGTACTGAGTCGTGTGCAGCGGAGCCAACGAGGTGGGGTTCTGCAGAGCCCAGGGATGAGGTCGTGCGAGAGGGCCTCCGAGAGGAAAAGGCACCGGCACGGCGCTGGCTCCTCCGAGAGACAACTGCGTGGTGGGATTGCTGGTCAGGTCCAAGGTGATGGTCGCAAACGGAGCGGAGCTCGACAACATGGCCGCCGATCCTGACGACGAGACGCAGCCGGACCCGATCTGATGGTAGTTGTTGTTGACTCGCACGTCTTCTTCAGCCGTGGAGCTGGAGCCCGACAGAAGCATACAAGCGGCAGCCGAGGTGGTGGACGCCATCTGGGTGGCAGCCGGCGGCAGGGGATGATTGTGGGTGCCCTCATAGGTAGTGACGAGAATGGACCGATCGTCGGCGCACCTTTGCACCTGCACGGAATGGACGAGAGTATAATAAGTTCGCGGGACCGGATGTGACGGCTCCGCTACGGTTGACCACGAGGCCGGAGGCTAGACGAGGCGTTGACCATAACGATCGCTGCATGCACATGCGTCGCCATCGTCGTCACCTGGTGGCTCGAGCCAGTAATGTAAAGCATGGGACTAAGGAAAGCCCCCCCCGGTCTCTTGCAACCTTCACTTTGCGTGCGGGGCAATGCAAGGACATGCCGAACATGTTGTCGATCGGGCAGGCCCTGACCGCCATAACAAGAAATCATGCGCAGACTCGTCAAGGAGCAAACTAAAGCGAACCAAAGCGAACCGGGACTGACCTGCTTGCGAACGGGGCAGCCGGGAGCGACCGTGCAGCGGTAGTAAGCTCGAGGACAAGGATTGCCCTTGGCCATTTTCTGTCCATACTTGCGCCATTGACACCCATCGTTCATCTGCAGCCGGCCATGGAACAAGGGGCCAAACGAGAAACGCAATCAGTGACTTACGAGTCCGCTGACGTACACTCGAGCTTGCGAACGAAGACATCAAGAATAAAAGCTCTGCTCTAAGAGCACCCAAACGCACGCGCGCACGCCCTCACGCACGCATCCGGCTAAATTTCCCATCAGAACCCGGGCCTGCGTGGGCCCACATGCCACCAACATGACTCCCATGCCGGACTCTCGTCTCGTCTCGTCTCGTTGTCCTACTACTCTTCTGTCCGACGTGCCACAGCCATTGCCGATCTGCCACGACAAATGAATCCTCTCCAGGAAATCTCGCGTTCCAGAAGAAGAAATGAAATGAAGTGAATTTAAATGGAATAGAGGGACGGAGGCAATCCCTTGCGCTCGCGCCAGCAGTGCGTGCAGCGTGAAGGCACGAGCGCCTTGAGCTCACGAAGTTCTCTCTCTCTCTCTCTCTCTGGACCTACGCGTGCCTGCGAAAAAAAAGAACTCAGAATCGAAGACCCTGGCCCTGCCTGGCCCTACTGCAGGCATTGCTCTTCCTCTACCCCGTTCTCCATCCCGCTCCATCCTTTCCGCCAAATTGCGCCCGGATTGCCAGATTCCTGTTTCCTTACGTCCTCCTCCTCCTCCTCATCCCCCTCCCCCTCCTCATCATCATCGCCTCATCCAGATTCCAGATTCCAAAACTGCTTCCGATGATCTCGATGACGAGTCATCCAGCCACCATCCAGCGCTGCCTCAGTCAAATTCCGCTCATTAGTTCAGACCTGAGCCCCAAATCGGAGAGTCGAAATTGTGGAGTTCACGTCGCTTTTACTTCCACTCTTCCCCCGATCATTATTCTGGTGTATTTTCTCGACCTGGTCTCCACGGGCGCTTTCGTCCCTCGTCGCCCCACTTGCGACTTGTCTGATGCTCGAGCGTCAGCCATGCGTCAGACATGCGGCATACCTCCGAACGTGACCTCGTGTAGGACCACCTCAGCAGCATGCTTATCCAGCTGCTGGAACCGTATGTTTTCCGACGTGGCAGCATCCGGAGACTTTCCGGATTCCGGAGGAGGGGTCCGTGCTGCTGGCCGTCGTGGCGTGCTTGACGTCGGCGACATGGTTCAGATAAAGGTCGGAACCTTGTTCTTCAAACTATTGACTTTTCTCCTGACGCTACGGCTAGCAGCCTACCCTGTGACCGTGATCGTAACTTCCAGCACAGGTCACGCGAGCCCTCAACCGTCTATGCGATCGAGACTCCGGAAGGAAGGATAGCCGGCCCGAACAGCAGAGCCGGGACCAGCCGCGACCGCGGGAGAGGGGGGGCACAAGCGGGGGTTAGAACGAGAGAGTGGACACTGGAGAGAGAACTTACAGTGGGCGCGTCGGATCTCGCTCGGACAGAAACGCGAGCGTTGCGAACCGTGGGATCGTGCATGGCGCCTGTTTTGAGGCGTTTATTCGGTGGCCAGACCGCCGGTGGCGCGGAGCTGCTTTCCTCGCGCTCCCTCTCTCTGGCCTCTCGGGGAGGAGAGTCGTCGGTCACCGGCTCCGAGCCTGCGGACTCGTCCATTTCGATGCCGGCAGCTGCCTCCAAATTGCGCGTGATGGACCGTTCCGGTGTGCTCCTGTTGCGGTGTTTGTTGGTGGTGGTGGTGTTGTCGGAGGCCAAGGCCGATCTGCGGCTTGCCCGAGAAGCAGGAAATACTTTCTCTTCCTCCTGCTGCTGCTGCCGCCGTGGTTCCAGCTCGAGACCCGGTCCTCGAGATTCTTCAATGCCATCGCGTGCATCGGAATTCTGATGACCGAAGCCAGAAACCGTGCCACTCGGTCGCATCGAGGACTGGTGCTTCGATGCCGCGGCCGTCTGGTTTCCCGACGCTGCAGATGACCCATAATTGATATTTTGCATCAGTGGACGACTTTGATTTACTGCAGTCACATCATCTTCAATTTGGGCCATGACTGGAATCTACCATGCAAACACAAACGTGATTAAGGTTACAAACGTCACCAGGACCTCAATTGTGCATCAACTTGAACGTGAATTCACAAGCTCATGACGCGAGCGACACCCAGGGATGTTATCAGATTCCTGAAATTCGTTCAAGAGAATTCTACCTCTTGACAGTGAAACGTAGCCATTGTCACAGTTTCACCAAAGCCATTGAACAATCTAGTCAGGATGGGTTTGGACGTTTGCTTCACACTGTCGCAATCCAAACATCCGCGAGACCAGGATGAGATCGCCCTAGAAGATACTTCAGAGGCAGAAAATGGTGCAACGCGGATACACCGGAAAGATGCAATCAAGAATGAATGCCTGCAAGAAACTGAAGAACGACAGAAGTTGCCAACATTGTGATGCGCGGAGTCCAAATTACCCGAGGCATTGCAGCTGCTTGCGCAGACTGTGGATTGAGAGCTTGTTGCTGCAGGAGAGAGACGACATGCTCATGCAGTGTCTGATAATCCATGGTCAGAGCAGCCAGCATTCGTCTCATCTGCTCTTTCTCTTCTCCCATTCTAGCCATCTCTAGACGCGCCAGTCTGAGCTGCAATGTGCAAACAAGGACAAACGAATTTCCTGTTACTTCGAATCTTGTCACATCAAGGTCTGTTCATGTCTTGAACTTTTGACTGAACTCAGACTTTCACGACTTTCGAAACGTCATGAGTAGGTTCCTTGCATGCGCATTCACCACTCATGAGGCTAGTGAAGGTTCTGAACAATTCGAATCTGACTTAGGAATTTAGTTCTTTTGCTCCCATCCCTGCGAGAAAAGCTTTATGTGGAAGTAATCATATCACACAATGCGTCATCATTCGGTACCTATGCCCAAGCTCATGTGTATATGGGAGTTCGGAAAAAGGAAACAATGAGAATTTAGGCCCTACGTTGACAAGAGTCACAGACTTGCCATTGGTGAGGACCTGTGACAACACTTATTCACTAAACCTTCTAGAACTCCACCAGCTCGATCACCAGTTTAATTGTCTTTACACCTAACAACAGCTTCCACACATCGCATCCCACATCCAGCTGAGGTTTGTGTTATTCCAATTCCAGAGCTCAGATAGTGTCCGACCCCACTGAAGGATGCTGATGTTATCATAATCATTGGCCAAAACCTTTCCTAAACTGGTCTCAGCGAGATACTGATCCCAAGGACCTAGGTTGGATTGGTATATGTGAAGTGACGCTGCGCTGGTCCACATAGGAATGTATCCGTTTACATTGATCTGTATTTGCCTCAGCTATCTTCTCAATTTTTCAAATCGATTCAGAAGTCCACTGATCGAGATCCTAATCTCCAATCCAACATCTAAAAGAGCACAGTGGTAAAAAATGATATCTATATAGTCGACAAAGTCCCCAATTCAGTCTCCTCCTGAATTCAGGAAGTCCTTGTCTTTTCAGATCATGATCGAGGTCAGTGTCGATGTGTACATAAACCACCATCGAGGAGTCTAGCAATAGTGCACGTTGGCATGGATTTGCTTACCTGATTGCGAATTTCGGACTCCGAAGAAGTACTTTTCTGCTTGCTACCGGGCGAAGAAGGCGGGGACCCGTCTTCGACAGTTGATCGCTCGTTGCAATGGTTTGTTGCCAGACGAAGCCGGTTCTGCAGTGGAAAAGATTACATACCTCGTCAATATCATATGGCAAACTTTCCATGTGCAAAGGCACTTGACTTCAGTTGCGTAAAGAATCCTTCCGTCTTTGAGGTTGAGAATATGTGGAATTCATCTGAAGAGCATAGGCATCATCCCTGGAAAACGAAAGTCCTATATAATTCCTCTTTTCTCGTCCAAAATGTTTGAAGCTCCTTGCTTGGTCCATGCTCAGTCTCTCCTTTCTGCGGATTGAACTGATCCAGATGATTGTGGAAATCCTGGAAACCCACTAGATGCTACTGAACAGATTTTTCGTATGTTTTGAGGAGTTCTTGGCACCCTCTTTGCTCCGAAGGTTTCACGGCCCCAGCCCTCACATCATCATCTATGAATGGCCTCATTGTCTGCTTCTAAGTCAGAGTGTTTCCGCCTCCGGCTGCGTCAGTGTTCGGCCGTTCTAACAGTCCCTCTAAATTAAAACCATTGTCTACTCGCATCGCGATTCAATCTACACTGCGACACATGACTCAAGTCTAACTCTAGAAATCCACAAGAGGAAGTGATCAAAGACAAGGATTGAGTGGGTTCATCGAATAAGAAATATGGCAGCACGGTTTTAGAGAATGGTCTCTTATGTAAAAGCTTTGCTTCACTGTGATCGGTATGACGAGCAACTTACCGAATCGTCACCTCTTTCTGGCCTGAAACGTGAAGGTAGGGATTCGGCAGAAGCCCTGTGATTGGATACAGACACGGGTCCAGAACTGGGTCCTAATTGCAAAAAGTTTTGTGCAGGCAGTGGCGTTGAGGTGGAAGCTGGATGCTGCTCGTAATCAGCCGTCGCCATGTTCTGCGTTTCCTGATCTGCGTAAGTTTCTTCTGCAGGTGCAATTGAAAGGTCTATCTGCTGCACCCGATCCATCCGCCCACTAGAGCTAGCCGTCACAGGAGGATCACCGTTGCTAATCCCCATCGGAAGCAACCAGGGTCGATATCCAGATTCGAGACCTCGACCTTGTCACGAGATTAGTCTGATGCGACTGAGGACCAGACCACGAGCTTTCCCAGTGAACTTGAGGTAACCACAACTGGAATTGAAGATTCCGATTTGCAATTGCTGGAGTGCAGGAATCTGAGCAAGAAAACCGACGCTCGGCTGCTACCGGCATTCCTCTAATCGTAATTTGGAGATGTGTGGTGATGGCGACCACGGAGAAGATACCATATACGTTGTTCGGGAGGAGACTTTCATCGCCAGAAGAAACAAGAAATCCAGAAACTGGGATGAGCTTAAAAGTGAACCAACACCACCACTAGCAGGTATGAGTCCTAGTACTTGCTGTACAGTCGCCTGCTGCTGCCAACAAAGTTTTCATTCAGCGGAAACCCAAAACCGCGGTTTGCAACCACAGCAAATCTGGATGAGGCGAATTGGTTGCTTGTGTGTTATAAACATGGCGTTGAATTCTCAGCTTGCTCAGCATCATGACCAAGTAACACCGCTTGCCTTGGGCCGACAGTTAGAGAGACACAGAGATAGAGACGTGGACGGTAAGCGTGGGCGCTAGTTTCTCGTGAAAGGAAGAAACGACGAAGCATCAAGCTTGAGCTCCTGGGCCGCTTGCGGCATCAAAGAAATCTATCTAGGCACGACGAGATACTTGAAGGCCGAGCAGTAATGGCCAAAGAATCAAAGACACACCTCTTTGAGCTTCTTTTTTAATCCGGCTTTTATTAACGCCATGTATGAAACCCGAGTTTATTGATATTAGGTTACATAGAGTAAGGTAGAAAGGGGGAAGTTTTTCCCTCCCCTCCCCTCCCACCCACACGGACTCGGCCAGAGCAGCCGCTCATGATGCTGCGAGGACTGTACTGGAAGACACTTCAGCTACCAATCGGGAGTGTTAGCAGGTCTACCCCAAAGTTTCACTATTCACATGTAGTCAACGGATAGGACACGTGGAGACGCGGGATCACTGCGTGCCAGGTTTCAACACCCTCGGTTGTTTGCTGGGTTTTTGCTTAATATCCCCACTCAGTTTCTTGGCCCTTTGGCACCTTACTTCCTCTAGTAAGCAATCGAGAGACATCATCAGACCATAATGTGGATTGTAGTTGAAGCAAAAACATGCAGCTTTATCCACAACATAGAGCTACCGCTCTCTTGAGCCTAAGTTCAAGGAGATGATGCACCTTGGATTACCTTTTGTTTCTATTATAAACAACTGCTTTCGTAGTGTACCTTCCAGATTCAGATTTTCCTTCTTAAAAATGTGACCCAAGCCATCTTATCTTCACAATTTTAAATGAAGAAAATTTAATCTGAACAATGTTCATTTTTCTTCCTTTTTTTTAATTGTAAGGTACTTCAAATGCACTAATTCGACGGATTGGAAGAAAATTGAAGGTTATCAATCTTTACACCCACAAATCATTCACTGAATTACTCAAACTTTTCCAATTTTGTCACTAGAGAGCTAAATTTGCGGACCGAATTTATCGCACGCCAGAGGAGAATGATTGGTCGGGTCAAAATCAAGTGTAGACCTGAATGGATATGATCCAATAGAGTACTCAGAGTCAAGGTCTAAAGATCCAGTAAAAATCTCCATGGACAGGTAGAAGTTAATGAACAAAGTAGCCATTACACCCTATGAACAGGTGTACAACTTAACGGGTCTTTTCAGACATCTGACTGCTCACTGATCTGCCATCTGTTTTTTTATGCCATACGTCTCCCTTTTCCCATTATCAGTTGCAGGAAGTTACAGTAAACTAAAGGAGTTACTGAAGCTGGAACTGTGTTGCAAACTATCACTGTCTCTTGAAAGCTCAGAATGAAATTGTTGGACGCAGATGATGAGCGGCAAGACGGGAGTCAGGGAACTGTCACAACAAATCGTTAGAAAAAGCATGCATTCCAAAGGCCTTCACTTAAACCTCACAGCCCTCTATACTAGAGGTTGGGTAGGACAGTACTTTCTTTAGGACAGAGGGTTGATGATTTCTCTCACCTTAGGACCGTCCAGCGCCCCCGCATTATTAGAGTCCTATACTTCACTCCTGGACAGTGATTGTTGTCTTTCTTTAGGACACACACTTCCTTGATATCTCTCTCCTTAGGACAGCCCAGGTTCGTACGTGTGTGTGAGTGGAATAATTTATTACTCTTACTTGAGGAGTCAGGTCAGTACATTCTGTGTAGAACTTTCAAGAAGATCTTCAATTTAAGAACCTCAACTTCCCTGCCTGCGTTACATGTTTGAAAGTCAGGTCGATCAACAATTTCGGTAGATTCAAATACCAGTAATCCTTCTAAATATCTTCTCGTGAGAATTTGCAATCAAATTCATAATTCACTAAGTCTTGGATATTTGAACGGTCAAAGAAGATAATACTCCTTGGAAAATGGAATCGTTATTCCTTTTCCAGTTATACACAAATTCTCTAGATCTTAGATTCCTCTTGGTGCAAAGAAGTTAGTTAAAATACTCCTCTAACTGGGGTCAATAATACATGTTACTGTATGTCGATTAATAAAGTCCCACCTCGTGGCGAAGTTGTTGTAAACATAATCTGCGTGTTTTACTATCAACATCATTCTGATAATGAGAATGTCCTTGCACATCAAGACAAGAAACGAAGCTTCTGGACAATAGTCGTGCTTAGTCTTCCACCACTGTAGTTCATTCTTTGACGGTCATGTACCCATCATTATATGCTCTCGCATCCATTCCTATTCACTTCCACAAGTTCGAATCGGTACTAGACCCCAAGATACTCCGCTGGAGGTTCATATGATGAGTATCACTACCCTTGAGTTGAAAAGTATTGCTCTGTTTGGGCAATTTTGAATGACAAAGCGCTATCTTGACAAACATTTCTATAACACAAAAAAAAAAGCAAATTGTCCTCCTTGAGGTTGACATCGGCGTAATTCCAAAACATTATCACATAGAGGTTGTCCATGGAAAAGGAGTATTATTCGTAGTTATTGCCTATGGGAACAAGCTGTCACGAGCACCCTGGTGTACTCACACATACATCCAACACCCACGCTCATCAAGTTGTCAGATATAACACGAGCTTAAGGTGGTCATGATGGGCGAATAAGTCTCAGTGTTTGGAACAGACACAATCAACTGGATTTGGGAACAAAAATTTGACTCGTCATCATGAATTCTCTAATTTGGGACCCTTGTTTCCAGCCTCAACCAGATAGATACAATACAACACTCATGACCGAATGATGGATGTTCAATAGTCAACCCAATGTCATGGGCAGAGCAAGTGGCAATAGCTGGAAAGACATCATTCAAGCTCATTGGTTGTCACTCGGTTTGTAGACACTCATGCACACAAAGAGAAATGACTCTCTTATCAACACACACCGACCACAGAAACGTTTTCATATTAGCTGAACACGCACCACTGGAAAAGTCTGAGCATGAAAGCTTCTTCTCTGATTGCATAGAAGGTTACGCAGCTTGCACTTCAAATTCATATAAAAAAAATTAATTGGCTTTTGTTTTGCTGTCATAACTAGATCTTGGCATTGGCTCTAAAAGACAAACGGAAATAACTGTGATTTCAATAAAACATTGGATTAATAAAGAAAAAGTATTGGACGAACCCTATTAAACCTCATAGGGATGAAACCAAGAATGGTAAACTGAGCTAGTTCATGTAGCCTCACAATGGTGAATATATAGATCTAGATCAAACATTCTACGTACTAGCACTAACAGAGTATCCATAATTTTTCACTAATGAAATTACTCTCATAAGGAATGCAGCTCCGAGTGTTCTGTTGGATATATATAGTGTATAATATGTTTTATCATACTCCATAGCTAAGTCAAGAGCTCCTAGACTACAGCGATAATAAGTTGGCATCATAGGCTACGCCTGTAAGAGAAGACATTTCAAGTTATTGCTCCACTCACTACCTATCTAAGAGTCCATTCCGAAATTGTGTCACGTTTTTGAGCTGTAACCACAAGAATTGTTACTCCCTCATCAAGAAGAGATTTGTTATAGCTAAACTAGAACATACACACAATAAATTGATACCCTAATCAGGAATAGAATATAATCCATATGATCATAATATATAATAATAATAAGATATACAAACACTTTCTTCATTAACAATAATCATTCTCTTCTTGAGTAGCAAACACTCTATCTTTAATGGCATCATGGGTGGTTATCATGTTCTTTGAACAAGAAACGAGTCATGTAAATTCTTGATAAATCTAAATTTTCTGCATGTAGACTAGCTAGATAATGTAACTGCGGAATGGTGGGTGTAAAATACATGGAAGATAAATCTGAAAAAAAATATAAGAAATCCATTTAACATTTATTAGAAAATATTATATATATGTAAAAAATTCTAATTCACGGATGACCAAAAGTCCACAAGCATGCATTCTACCAAAAAAGTAACACAGATGAATCCAACAAATATTATACATGACCATTTTGATTGAGAAGAAAAAGTATAACTTGTTGGAACTATGATGCATCAAGATATATTGCAAATCTTTAATCCAATATTTCGGAAAAATGAAAAATTCTATATCTCAAGATGTGATTCTCTAGACAAAGCAGCTTTTATCTTTTGAAAATTCATCAATTTTCTCATTAATTTAAATTGTAGTCCATGATTGCAAACCGAGATTAAATTTAGTATCTGAAGAGCTAAAATTTTAACATCATTTTAGTTGACATCTACTTGATCCAAAAAAAGACTTTGAACACAAAATTGAAAAACTCCATTTATCTTCATGTCAAATCTCTTACCACATACGCAAAGTATCATTGATCTAATGGCTTCGTCAACAAACAACTCGTGTTTTTCCAACAAATTTGCTTCAATTGTACACAAGTAATGAGTTCATTCCTAAATATCACCACATAATGACCTTTCTAGTAGATATTTTTGATTTCATCTGATGAGCTCGAGATATTTTAGTCGTCAATTGTCATAAAAAAATTATCTTTTGGCGCATGAAGTTATCTTATACCACTGAAACTACATCAAAATACTATACATTGGCTACATAATCGCAATTAATTATTTTGTGCCTAGAATATATTCAACCACATGATGCTTATGTAGAATACACATACTTCTCATGCAATATACTGTTCAACCCCTGGTTTAAATGTCCAGGATTTAGCAGCCATCTCATTATTTTTAACATATCCTTTCTAGCAGACTGAAAATATTACGTTCGAAGTTGGAGACGTAAATAATGTTAACTCGTTCATGAAATGACAAGCAGATCATTTAAGTGATAAACCAAAATTGGATTAAGTCTTCTAATGATACTCAAGAATAATACATATCATGAACAACCAGTGTAGAAAATCTCTAAGATTTGATCTCTTTATGATGCTAATCAATCTCACAATTCAGTCTACATATAAAATATAGTCAACAAAGAGATATGTATAGTTTAATACCTAAAGAATTAGATTCCAATGGCTTCTCAAGGAACCAACTCATACATCAAATAGTTTCAATCAAATAATAAATACTTTATTCATACTCAATTCCTTCAAATGTCAGTATCTTATATTATTGCTATATGTTGCTACATGGGACAAAGTGTTTTGACTCTAAGGAAACTCATTTGAAATTCTTTGAAAAAATACACCAAATTTTTTGTATCA